TCAAGCAACAACCTCACCACTTCCAAGTGGCCACGAGCAGTTGCAGCTATCAAGGCGGTTGTCCCGTCTTGACTTGCTGCATTCTTGTCAGCTCCAGCCTCAAGCAACAACCTCACCACTTCCAAGTGGCCATTGACAGCTGCAGCCATCAAGGCAGTTGTCCCGTCTTGCCTTGCGGCATTCTTGTCAGCTCGAGCCTCGAGCAACAACCGTACCACTTCCAAATGGCCCCGTTCCGCTGCAAGATACATAGGTGGACGGCGAGGGTCTGCACCTGTCCCATTGGGATTCAACGGTTTCTGAAGCAAACTTGTAACTTCTACGACTCGATTGTTCTCACAAGCAAGGTGTAGTGCCTGCCAATTGGCCTCCTCAGGCGCACAAAAGTCCAAGATTACCAATTGCAAACTTGGTACTTGTCTGACAGGCATATCATCCTGTAGTTCGCCCATCTCTTCACTCAAGAGTCTCAATCGAAATCTTGAGTATCTAGTCTCTGTGGCAAGGAGCGTCTTCAAATCCCTAACAGATTTTCCGCTCTCCACCATGCAAGCCAGTTCCTCTTCATGAAGCCGGGTGAGAACTGTACCTGCAACCGTTACAATCTCCATTGCTGGAGCCCTAGAGGAAGTGGTATTTGATCCAAAATGGCTGGACATGGATGTTCATGAGAAACTGCATCTGTGGTATTCAGCCAGTACATCCCAATCTCCATCCACTGTGCATCTCCCCCACTTGCGAGTTCTTTTCAATGGCTCACCAGACACCTTCCACCTCCGAACCCCAGTTCGGGCGCTTTTCCAATGGTCTCACCCGCTCCGCTGGGCTGCCCCCGACGCGCCAGGCGCGTGCAAACCTCCGACCAGCCCGTCTCCAAGCCTCAGTGGCCAACGTTTCACGAAACGAGGGCCGAAGGCGCCAGGCAGGTTCGTTCCGTCCATTCTGGCGTTCCGGCCTTCGGATGGAAGTGTTTAACCGGCGTTCCGTCCGTTCCTTCGGTGGTCTTCGTTCGTCGTTCGACAGTTCTTGAGCCGAACGAACGGCTTTGCCACGAAGCACGGTCGGAAGGCACGGAGACTGCTCACGGCTGAGCTCGTGGAGCTCCGGCTAAAGTCTCCAGTCTCGGTTCTCACCGTTCGTTCCCTGTCAGAACAAATCGGAATCCCACGCGACGACGAACAGACGAGGTACATCATACCAGCACAGGCCAGACAGACCGAGCGGATCGTTTGGGAGTCGCGTTGTGGCCGAAAAGAAACGAAGAGAAACACATGAGACACGCAAGACGCAAGTCGTCTCTTGTGTTGGATGCAAGAGCTTTCCACCTGATGTGGCTCTGCGACTCGATTTTTCAAGCGGTGAACTTCCAACGGCACGCTCACCTGCCCTCGAACAGTTGTTCTGCTTTCCCCCGGTCATCAGTTTCGGCGCCGGACGCTCGCCACAGCTCACCATCGCCAGCAAGGCCTGGGCGGCGATGAGGCTTTGGGTCAATGTGCAGTCTTGTTGGCACTTAGTCACATGAAAGGGTCAGAGTCATAGTATTTGTCATGTAATATACATATGTATACATATGTATATATACATATGTATATACCAATACAACTTCTGTAGATTTCTTGAGCAAATCACACACGTCTCAGGATAGCATTGGTGTGAGCCAGCCCCCACTTGTTCGCTGAAGCAAGAAGTTGACTGACTTGGGTTTGGACTGGGAAGTATCAACCAGAGTGGAAGTTTCATTCGCACGATCACCTACACCTTTCACCGTCAAGCCTTCTTGTGCAACGAAACACCATCTGCACTCTAAATCAATTGGTATAAACACCATTTAAAAACGATGCGCACAGAATCATCATGGTCTGCGCGCTACACCCGACCAGTTCGTACCTCCCTCTGCTCGCATTCCAGGGATCCGTGCCCAGAAGAGGCTTGCAGAACCCGGCGGCCAGGAGTCTGTGGGACGCCGAGCCGACGGCGACGGCGATGGAACCCGATGGTTCTTCTTCATCGACACTTTGGCGATCGGGGTCGCACATCATGCTACAGAGAGACCTCTGGTTCCAGAGGAGCCGATGGCTTTCCCCATGTTTGGGGGGGGGGGCACGCAAAATTAGGTGCTACGTCCTGTGAAGAAGTTTCAGCGAAACAAGCATCATGCTACAAAAACATGTTGTAGAATGATTGCCGCAACATGCCGCAACTAAAATAAAAAACCCTGGAACCAAACTCCAAACCACTGAACGACTCTGTGTCTATCGGGTGCGCAGCAAGTGGGTGTTCATCTCGCTCGACCTTTCCCACTGAGTCGTTGAGGTTGAGAGACCTGAATTGCGACCCGAACCTCGTGCTACACCTCAAGCGGACAGATACATCGTGGCCAGCCATGGGGCCATCAAAAAGACCATAAAAAGGCTTCGGGGCGAACCCACTTGGTACACTTCAACTGCTTCACCCACTTGCTTCGCTCCCCGATGCGCCAGGCAGTGCCGCGCTCGTGTGGCGTGCAGTGCCCCCCGCGCCTTCGCCTGTGAGGTTCGCGGCGGCCGCCGCGCCCAGCGCGCGGTGCAGGGCCCAGCGCAGGGCGCCCAGCCTGGAAGGTCGTTTCCCCGTCCGGACGCGCGCGCGTTCGGCCAGTGTGAGGAAGGTTTCGGTGTGGAATTTTCAAAGATTCTGCTGTTCTTTTGAAGACATTTGGCATTCCGGACACCTTTCCTGACACCTTTTCATCTTGCTGTAGACCCTTAAAAAGTTGGAGATGTTGGGGATACCTGCTAGCCATAGAGCAAGAAGGGTTGAGGTACCATACCGCTGCAAGACTGATGGATTGGACACTTTTCGATCAACGTTCTAAATTCACAAAGGCAAAGAGTTACAGAAGAGTCCTTGCTCCTAGTAGTAAGGCCAGGAGCCCCTAGTAGCGTCCTTGTTCCTAGAGCACAACAGTTAAGGCTGACCCTTTTTCCAGAAGCCCTTGAGTCACGATATCCAAATAACCATCTTCTCTCCCACAACCGCACTGTCCTCTGTCCTCCGTCCTGTCCCTCTGTTCTCCCCACGTCTCCCTCGGCCTGGTGGCCATCAGTTGGTGCACCTTCCGGGCGATGAAGTCCTGTCCGACGGGTCCGACGGATTCTGCGTCCGGTCAAGCGGACTTGGTCAAGTCCTAAGAGACACCAGTCCAACGCAAAGGAATCCTGCTACGAAAGTCTGTTCTTCATTCTTCCCTGATGATGTTTCGGACTCCCTTTCTGAACTCAGGCTTCCAAACATCGGTGTCGGTCCCGCATGGGGTCGCCGCTCCCGTTCTCCTGCTTCAGCGTGCACCAGTCCCCGCCCGAGCGGAAGGTCTCCAGCAGGGACTCGGCACACGCCGGTGGAACGCCGCGCGGTGGAGGGGGGGTGTCGGTGAGGTTCGGAGGGCGGCCTGCAGACCTTCCGGCCTATTTAGGGGAAAAAAGAGACACCTTTCAAGTCTTCAAGCAGGTCACTTCATGTGTCACGCTGCCTTGTGCCAGGGAGGGGAAGCGTATTAGTGAAGATGCCAACGAAGGACATCTTGCCTTGGGCAAAAGTCCTTGTAACAATCCAGAACTCCAGAACGACCCCCACAAACCCAAACAAAAAGTGCAACACTGCGCGCAACAGCCCTCGTCAATCTGCCTTGGTTTCACAGATTGCTGTAAGATTCTGGAGCAATTTGCGATAGACTTAGCTTTTCAAAGGGTTTCCAGGCCAAGCAACCTACTAATCATGCCCCCTCGTTGGACATCGTTGGATCACCCCGAATTGCTTGGCACCGTCCCCATACCCCGGCACCTCCCTCCTTCCGTCCTCACATCACCGACACCGGCGCTCCGGACGGCCCAATAGGCGGAGGCATCGTCCCAGTAGGCGCGCCACGCCTCCTGGAGAAGCACGACCGGGAGAGAGCAGGCGGGCGAGGCGGATGGGGGGTAGGGGGGTATGGGGGGGGGACGAAGGAAAAGGCCAAAATGGAAGATGGCGACATGGCCAACTTGAAGTAGATGCCTGGGAGCAAACGGAATTTTGGAAGCTCTCCCTCATCTCTTCCTCCCTGGTCTCTCATCTCTCATCTGGCTTTTTCAGGTTTACGGGCTCCACCCGGTAACTGCAATGGCCCTCTACACCTTCTTTCGACCAACTCCCACGAGGCTTCCAACCTTCTTCCATTACTAGCAGCTTCTTGTTCCTAGTGAAAGGCCAGGAGCTACTAATGGCGTCCTTGCTTCTAGTAGCGATGCCAGGAGCCCCTAGTAGCGTCCTTGCTCGTAGCCCACTCTGCCGGTCCTTCAAGCCCTTGAGCTCCGGCACCTGTCGTCGGTTCGGAGCAGACTTTCCAGCGAAGCCGGAGAGAAGCTTTTGGAGGTCCAAGCTTGAGAAGTCCGGCTTTTGCTCGGATAACCGGATGGAAGAAGACAGTTGGGAAGAATCTCTGCTGGACGGTTGTGTCATCACATGTTCTTCGAACACAAGAAATCTGGAGGGAGCAATTCCGTTAGGCCTTAGACACGGCTGTTCCGCAATTGACTTGAATTGATCAACCTTGAGATCTATCTTGTTCGAAGAACGAACCAAGTCCTATACCATTGCCAAACGAGCTTCCCCCCAAAACCCTCAACGAGCTTCCACCTCCCTTTTGCATCCTCAACAACATACGAAAGAACATCCTCCACGTTTTCACTCTTGGGAGTCCATTTCTGCTTCCCCACTCCTCCCCACTCCTCCCTCCGTCCAGGCTGACGCATCCGTCACAAACGGCTCGTGTTCTTTCTACCCCCGTCCCGCCTCGGTCGCAGGCAGCAGGCTGGTGAGGAGCTGCAGCAACGGGCGCGAGTGAGGCGGGCCCAGAACGGACACTTCTGTGCTTTTTGTTGGAGCTCCCTTTTTTTGATGCTCTCATCTGGTGGCATAGAACATCGAAGTCACAAGAAACAATTGGATTGCTGGCATCTGCACACACCAGCGCCGCAGGACACGCCGGGTCGATCGATCGCACCGCCGTCGGCTTCGGCCCGAAAGCGAACGCAGCGCCTGCAAGGCGGTGAGCCCCAAGCCCTGCGCGTCGGCGGGGCGTTTGGTCGGTGAGGAATATTCTGCGAGTGACTTTCAAGAGGGTGTCCAACAGAGGTAGCCAGTGACCGGGACCATAGGACCTTACAGGGGTACCTATAGGATATAGTCTATAGGGTTCTTCAACCTCTGCTGTTGTGGCTAAAGTGCTTTGAGTGGATGATCCAAACCTTGATCGACACAAAGCACATTCCAATGCGTCCTAAGTGCGAAGCGGATGTAGCATGCCTCAGTTCAATTTAGGATCTCAGAAAACGGTGGAGTGTCCAAGGGTGACTGGCCAGTGGATGGTTTGCTAATCCGGAGCAAGGCAAAGCTAAGGTGTATAATCACCCTCCCCCCCAAAAAGATTATGGACACGGACACCGGCCTGTTGATCAAAGGAAAACCATCTTCGTTGGTTGGATGGAGGGCAGAACGACCTGCCCATGTAGAACCTCCTCACACATCCTCCGGCCGCCCCACACATGGCATTTCCGTGCCTGCAGGTCGAGGTGCGTTTGGTACTCTGTGCACAAGGGCTCCTCCTGGAGCGACTTGGCCCCGGTGACACGCAAGAAACCCGCAGGAACACCTTCAAACATTCACAAGGACCCACGTGTTGGCACGATTTGGAGCAATGAAACGACATAAATGATGCACATCGGTTTGGGCACAAAGGAAACCTTCTGGAGAAACCCGCTTCTGACCATTTGATGCCTTGACGCCGCTATTTTCAGCTGTGCTGGACGGTTTCCTTTTCACATCGAGTTTATCCCCATGAACCTGCCCAACATTCCATTGAACAGGAGGGTTCCCACAGAAGGACCTGTGAAGGGAAATCTTTTCTGTTGCTCCCTGGCTGAACCATGTCTTTCTTCCGTTTGGCGTCGTGTGCACACGGAGAAACGCACCTTCTTCTCAAAGGCAAATGGGGTTCGGTCAACAGTCACACCGCACATATATCATCATATCTTGCACTATCCCTCGGCACACTAACAGCAAGCACAAAGATGAGCACCACGAAGCGCACAAAAAAAAATTGACCCCAAAAGGTGATGTCTGAAATTTCACTCACCCCTCCCTAAACTAGAAAAGTCTATTCTAAATCTGCAGCCGCCTTTTCTCTAAGCTCTCTCTAGCCTGTGGTCCACTCCTACGGTGCACTGTGGCCCTTGGCAAAAACAGGCTCGCGTTCAAGTTCAAGTACTGAACAAAGCTGGCGGCTATGTGACTGGAGATCAAGCATGACTCTCTGCATTATGGAACTTTTGGAACCTGCTCAAGGGGTTAGGTAACTGAAGTCACTGTTGGCTGGAACAGGGAGAGGCTTCAGCCTGGCACTGCCCTTCCTAGAGCAAAGGTCTGGTTGGGCTATGGCGGTGGCTGGCTTCAGCTGGGGCTATAGGTTGGCCTGGAGAGGTCCGCCTACTAAAGTAAATGTCTGGACCGCCGGCGGCTTCCCTTACTATAAGAAAATAAATGTCCGGCTCGGTCTGGGGCTGGCTTGGCTTGGCCCGGCGAGGTGCCCTAAAGTACATGTCCAGCTGGAACTGGGGCTGGATTGGCCCGGTCGCTTAGTAAAGTAAACGTCCGGCTATTCTGGTGCTCCTCCCGCCACCGAACTTGTGCTATTCTGGTGCTCCTCCCGCTCAACATCGGTGGTTCCACCACCAGGGCTTGTGAGCGGGCCGCTGCGCGCTTCGACTCCGGCATCTCGATGACAATGGAGTCAAGGTGCCAACCAAGGTGGCCAAGCTTGTTGAGCCACTTCAGGGAGTCGAGAGCTCGGCTGGGGCCTCGGGACCCTTTGGCAATGAACGAGATGCTCAACGGTCGCGCGATCCCAGGCCCGCACGAACTGCACCAGCCCGCCCCACGCACGAACCATGTTGACGATGGTCTGCGGCTCTGACTTCGTGACCTTCACCTGGGCGAGCCGGGTCAACTGGAGCTTCCATTCGTTCAAGATGGACTCGGACAGGTTGCCAACCCCCAAAGTTGTACTATTCTGGTTCTCCTCCCGCCACCGAAGTTGTGCTATTCCGGTGCACAGAACTTGCGTGCCATGCCATGCCATGTCCTTACCGTGACAAACAATGGCCATGCATGTTAAACAGACTTCATCCCTGCCAGTCCAGCATCAAAATCCACAAATTTTCTCATCGCCTTTAAACAATTGTCAAAATGAGCACCACTACACGTTCAGTTTCCGAAAGGATTCTCAATGGTTGCAAGAATGCCTCGACGGGACACCTGTGGCAAAAATCTGTGTGGGAGCAAACATCTGTCGGAATTTCGGAATCCTGCTCTCATAGGCCTGGCGAAATCTTTGGATTATGCCACCGTTGCTGCTAGAGGTTCCTAGCTCTGCTAGCAATTCCGCAAGCTAGAACGAAATGATCCCAGCCTAGCAAAGGACAGGACCCATTGCTCAGGTTGCCCGTGCCGAGTGCAAAGGAGATCAAAATGAATGATCGTCGAGAATGCCCCGCCCTTCCTGACTTTGTCACTTGCAATGTTGTTCCCTAATCCTAGCTGCTTGGCGGTTGCTGGGCATGTGTTCAATCCGCTCCTTGCCAAACGAATTCGAGTGTCCTCAGCTTGCCTTCGCTCAACTTTGAGATAGCAAAGGATATTGTTTTTAGAAGAGCAACGCGCCATTCCAACGTAGCGGGCCTCATGTGAGGCACCCGAATGAAATATTCAGAGGAGGAAGGAACCGTTCCAACGTAGCAAATCTTGTGAGCCACCCGCGGATAAAATCTAGAAGAGGAAGGTGTAGCGGACCTTTGGTGAGCCATGGGCGGTAAGCGGTAAAACTTAGAGGAGGAAGGTGCCATTCCAACCTAGCAGACCATTTGCGAGCCGGGTAAAAATTTGGAAGAAGGGGGCGTCACTCCAACGAATGCAAGAGCTTAGAGGACAGATGTTTTGTGAGCCACCCGACGGTAACATTGAGGACCCGCACCTTTTTGAGACTTGCTGTGGAGAGGTCAATTGCATGTGTACTTGGTGCTCAAAGGCCATTGGTGGTTGTAATTTGGCCACACGGTGTGCCACAAACTAAACACAACAATGTTACATCAAGCCTCGTGAGCAAATCCCGCTCCCCAGCGCACGATCTCCGCAAAGGGCTCATCCAGCCCACCCGAATTCGCATTTCACCTCAGCTTTGACCACTGAACGGAACCATTCCAACGTAGGAGATTTTTTGTGACTTGTGAGCCATCCCAGCATTATTAGGCAGACCTGGTGTGAGCCACCCAAGAATAGAATTTAGAGGAAGAAGGTGTCCACTGTAGCAGACCTGTGTGAGATAGGCGAGGTTACAATTTACAGCCTTTTGTGAGCCACCGGCAAAAAAAGGGCTGTCACGCGAGCGTAGAATTTAGCGGAGGCAGGTGTCATTCCAGAGTAGCAGACTTTTGCGAGGTGCCGGGGTAAAATTCAGGAGGAAGGTTTTGTGAGCCACTGGTTCTGCGGATGCGATTTGATGTGTTCCAAATTGAATCTAATCACGTGTTCGAAAGTGAATCGGCTACCATTTACTGTACGTAGCAACACCCCAGGAAATACATCAGATATTCTGAGGCTGAAGTAGGACCCCAGCGAAAGTTACATTGGCTACAGATGTCTTTACTCCTGCCACATCCTAGCGAACTGACGCGACATCACAGCACCAAAACAATTCCGCTGCATCACTACAGCAAGATTTGTGCAGTCAAGCCAGATCCCCACCGGCTCACCCAAACAAGATCCCAGCACCAAAGCAATTCTAGTGCAGAACTAGCAAGTGTAGTATTACGATTTGCATAGCAGCAGCTCTCGAAAAACCACACCTGCAAGCTGCAGGTGTACTTGTCGCATACTTACAAGCGCAACTCTATCCGTCTCCACTATACTGTAGTAATGCAGATCTGCAACGCAAACCCTTTTGTACAGCCGCCAGCTCCGGATGGCAGTGTTCTCCGTCGGACCTCAACCGCAAGTGCAGGATGCCACCGTTCCCCGCCAGGCCTCAACCGCCGGTTTCGGATGGGGGTGTTTCCGGCGGACCTCAACCGCGAGCTCTGGCTGGCAGTGTGCCCCGCCGGACCTCAACCGCCCCGCCGGACCTCAACTGCGAGTTCCGCCTGGCAGCCACAGCTTGTCCAGCGCCAAAGTGTGAGGCTTGAGCAACCACAAGGGCGCGTCTTGCTTGAAACAAGAATTATACCAGCGTAGACCCCAAACAGCTTCAAAATGGCTCGCTTAGACCCATATTAATATTAGTCAACAAACGATTTCTTGGTACGCCCTACCTTCGCCCCAAGAGCACACTGCTTCATCAACTACTTGTTCGGCCACACGCCTCTCCAGTAAACCGGGCCACAGAGACCAGCCACAGAGTTCAGGGGCGCGACCAAGACAAGGACAAGAGGAGGACAACGGACACAGAGCCCAGCCACAGAGTTCAAGACAAGGACAAGAGGAGGACAAGGCCCAGCCACAGAGGACAAGAGGAGGACAAGGCCTGGACACAGAACACAGCCCAGCCACAGAGGACAAGAGGAGGACAAGGCCTGGACACAGAGCCCAGCCAGAGAGTTCAGGGGCGCGGCCAGTGAGTGTGGCCAGCTCTTTTTTTCCTAAGATAGAACCCCAACAGTAAACTGTTTGGGGAACTAGAGGCAAGATGTTGGCAAGCTTGGGCTCCAAAGTTGCTACGGGGAAGAGCGGCCCTTTCATTTTCATCGCAAGATTGAGCCTAACAGGACCGATGAGTGTATGGTGGCCTTTCCACCTGTCGGTCTCAGTTTTCAACACCGGCATCGAGCAATGCATCGTCTTCGATGGTTTGCGCTGGGTCTTGTCCCTTGGCCAGCTCCTCCTTGAGAGGTCAAACAGGCACCGGAAGTCCTTGGCCGTATGGATGGTGCGGCCGCAAATGCCAGACAACCTAGGACACATTGAACAGCAGGCCACGTGATCAAGACCGCCGTTGTCTCCTTCACAAAGTGTTCCCGGCGGTGATGAGCTGTGCCCCGAAAGACCACGGCCAAAGGTCAGCGTAAACGGCGTGGAAAGCTGACATAGCGAGACCTGCCGCTGCCAAAGCCCAGAGGAACTCCAAGAGCACCACTTCATACGCAATCTGTGGTGCCCTCACCAAAATACTAGGACAAGGACAAATAAGCTCAAGCTATTCCAAGGCCCTGACGCGAAGAACATCGCATGTTCCTCTGTGCTTCTTGGCAGCTTTGCGCTTTGTCAGAGTATGTGCGGCATGGTCACCCATCCAGCAAGCCGGTCGGCAACTTTCCCTGGCAGGTCCAGGTAGCAGGGACAATGGAACTCCTCCGGAAACCGGCTCTTGGAGGGCACCAATGCCAGCATCCTGCGTAATATTGACCTTCTCGACTGGGGCCCCTGCTTTGGCTAGCCACACGGTGGCTTACAAGCCGCGGGTCGGTAACAGCAGCAGACGTGTCGGCGCTGGTCTGTGCAGCTGGGCATTTTGGTCGTTGTGGGCGCGCTGCGCATCGTGGTGCCTGCCAGATCGTCT